TGGAGGGAGACGGTTTTTGTCGAGGTTCGTCCTGAGCAGCTTCGTGACACAGGACTCCGTGCTGTATGGTCTGTTCCCTGGGACACACACCGAGACAAATATCGACTGATCCTGGAGGACCATCAACTCAGTGAAAGGTGCTCTTTGGTCAGCCCGAAACTTGTTAGTCTTCCAGAGTGAGGAGTTGACTTCAACTGAGTGTTGCAGACTGGCACATTCCAAGGTCTTGGACAAGCACTGAGGGACGCACTAAAGCTTAGGGCAGCTGTGCCAAGGCGCGGTGGGGAAAGACTATCATGTAAGGTCTTTCTGCTGAGGGTTGAATGAGCGTCCGTTCAGTCATCAGATACTCCTGGTACTTCAAATATATGTAAACATTGTCTTGTATGCTTAAGAGATGTCTTTGATTTGTTTGAATAGAGTCAAATTCCACTGTTTGTTTGTTTCCATGATATGCTACTATACAGAACAGAACTGCGTTTGTAACCATGTATATATACAAAGATATTTTTTATGGATAAAGTATATTTTTGAAATTTAAAAACATATTCCACAAGCAGTGGGAAGACCAGCCGAAATCCCAGTAAGTTGGAGTTTGCTGGAACTCAGAGCCCAATGTCCAGAGCCCTGTGTCTGGAGCCTGGTACTCAGAGTTCAGTGCCCGATGTACAACGTCTGGAGGCCAGAGTCCAGTGGCCAAAACCCGGTGTCCAAGCCCCATGTCCAGTGTCTGGATGTAGGTGACCGCTTCGCAGAAAACCTATGTTCTGCAAGTAAACAACACCCTGAGTTTTCAGTTGCCTGCCACTTTAACGCACCACCCTGCTCTCTGGCCAACATCTCTGTCTCTGGCTTGCTGCAGTGTTCCAGCGAAGTTCAGTGCAAACTGCAAGAACAACACCTCATTTTCTACTTGGGACTCAATATTGAGTTCAATAATTTTAGGGCCTAAACTCACCCATGTCCCAGCTCCATACCCCCCACACCAGGCCTTGTTACCACATAGCCTGCCATTACACACCCCCTATTGTTAGTCACTAACAGTCCCCATTAACTGCTATTCACCCTCCCAGCCTGATCATTATCGACTCCTTTGTCAACTCTTCTCTCTCTTTGGTCTTTATCCCCACCTATTGTTTACTCCTTACCCCTCTCCCCCCACCCTATCTTCTGCACATGAACCGACATTTTCCCAGCTACCATTCATTCCGAGGAAGGGTCACTGGACCTGAAACGTTAACTCTGATTTTTCTTCACAGATGCTGCCAGACCTGCTGAGCTTTTCCAGCAATTTCTATTTTTGTCTCTGATTTACAGCATCAGCAGTTCTTTCAGTTTTTATTTAGTATTTAACTCACTGCCACATCTCTTCCAGGCATGCCGCACCTTGAAGAAGTTTTGCTCCTCTCTACAATGGGATTTCCGTTCCAATCTGTTCTTGCCCACTGATTTTAATTTCACTGTCACTCCTGGTGTTTGACCAGGTGTTTGCTAAAACTCGTTTCCACAGCCATATCACATTCCTCAGTGACTACCTCCGGCTCAGACACAACCCACGTGGATTCCAACTGAAGTTTCATCCCTCATGTTTTGAATCCTCCCAGGATCACAGATATCTCCATGATGTTCAACGTTCCACAGATAGCTGCTCTCGCCGCATCCTGAGATCCACACTCAGTGCCATGCAGCGCCACATGCACACTCTTGACCTCTCTCTCCAACAGCATCGCAACGCATTGGCTCAGGGCTGCACCACTCCGCAGTTCCACTTCATCCTCCGGCTCATTCGCCATCTAACAAGAAACTTTTTCTTTTCCTTTCAGGCATCAAGGCCCACAAGATACACCAACTCAGAGATACCCCTAGCCCTCTGGAACCTACCTCTCCTTCCCTTCCCTCTGACTCCATTCCCTCTTCCAAACCCCCCACCTCCTGTCAGGTATTCACCATCCCTCCTAACCTTCCGCTCTCTGATGCTGAGCGCTCCGTAATCAGCAAAGGCCTCAGCTTTATCCCTTCGTCCCCACCTTAACAAATTTCGGGCACGACATGACATCGAACTCTTCTTCCGCCGTCTTTGCCTCCTTGCCCATTTCTTTGGACAAGTGTCCCCTCCCCACCCCACAGACCCCTTCGCCCAGTTCCAACGCTCTCCCTCCACGTAGACCCCTCCCTCCGGCCTTTTACCTGCACTCGATCTGTTCATTGAGAACTGATGATGTAACATTGGTCGCCTCTATTTGTCTGCCCCCCCAACCCGCCCATCCAATCCAATTCAACCTCTCCCCTTCTGAACTGACTGCACTCCGAGGACTCAGATCTAACCCTGACTTTATCATTAAGCCTGCCGATAAGGGTGGTGCTGTTGTAGTCTGGCGCACTGACCTCTACCTTGCAGAGGCTGAGCGCCAACTCTCGGATACCGCCTCCTACCTTCCCCTGGGCCATGACCCCACCATAGCACATCAGGCCATTGTATCCACTATGGTAACGGATCTCATTTCATCTGGTGACCATCCCCCCCACTGTCTCCAAGCTGATAGACCCCCAGCCTCTTCCATTGTTCCTGCCCCACAGAACTCATCTCTTCCTACCTGACTCAAATCTTCTCCCCCTGGTCCAATCCCTGCCCAGGTACATCCGTGATTCCTCTAATGCCTTAGGTTTCTAGAATTTCTGGTTTGCAGACTCCAGCCACTTCCTCTTTACCATGGACGTGCAATCCCTTTACACGTCCATACCCCGCCAGGAGGGTCTTAGGGCTCTCTGCTTCTTCCTGGAGCAAAGACCTGAACCATCCCCACCCACCACAACCCTCCTCTGCTTGGCCGAGCTTGTCCTCACACTCAACAACTTCACTTTTAACTCCTCCCATTTTCTTCAGGTAAGAGGGGTTGCCATGGGTACCCACATGGGCTCTAGTTATGCTTGTCTCTTCATGGGGTATGTGGAACATTCCTTGTTCCAGTCCTATTCCGGCCCTCACCCACAACTCTTTCTCCGATACATCGATGGTATCATCGGTGCTGCTTCCCTCTCTCGTCTGGAATTGGAAAACTTCTTCAATTTCGCCTCCAATTTCCACCCTGCCCTCACTTTCACCAGGTCTATCTCTGACTCCTCCCTTCCCTTCCTTGACATCTCTGTTTCCATTTCTGGGGATAGACTGACCACTAATATCCATTACAAACCCACTGACTCCCACAGCTACCTGGACTATACATCCTCACACCCCACTTCCTGTAAAGACTCCATTCCATTCTCCCAGTCCCTCTGTCTCCGTTGTATATGTTCCAATGATGCCAACTTCGATAAGGGAGCCTCTGAAATGTCCACCTTCTTCCTCAACCAAGCATTCTCCAGCTCCGTTGTCGACAGGGACCTCAACCAGGTCCAACCCATCTCCCGCACTTCCGCCCTCACCCCTCCTCTTCCCTCCTGCAACAGCGATAGGGTTCCCCTTATCCTTACCTACCATCGCACCAGCATCCACATCCAGAAGATCATCAGGCACCATTTCTGCCACCTCCAGTGAGATGCCACCACCAGACACACATTCCCATCTTTTCCCTTTTCCGCCTTCTGCAGGTCCACACTTCCTTCACCCCCAACACCTCCCCACAGTCCTATGGCACCTTCCCCTGTAACCGGCGAAGTTGCAACACCTGCCCATCTACCTCCTCCCTCCTCAGTATCCAAGGGCCCAAACATACCTTCCAGGAGAAGCAACACTTCACCTGCACTTCCCAGAATCTAGTCTACTGTATTCGCTGTGCACAACGTGATCTCCTCTATATTGGGGAAACGAAGCGTAGACTTGGCGACCGCTTTGCAGAACATCTATGTTCTGTTCGCAAAAAAGACCCTGAACTACCTATTGCCTGCCACTTTAACGCACCACCCTGCTCCCTGGCCAACATCTCTGTCTCAGGCTTGCTGCAGTGTTCCAGCGAAACTCAACTCAAATGGAGGAACAACACCTCATGTTCTGCTTGGGGACCCTACAGCCCTCCGGGATCAATATCGAGTTCAATAATTTTAGGGCCTAAACTCTCCCATGTCCTGGTTCCCCCCACCCCACACCCCACACACCACACACCACACACCAGGCCTTGTTATCACATATGCTGCCATTACACACCCCCTGTTGTTAGTCACTAACAGACCACAGTAACACAGTGGCACGGTGGCTCAGTGGTTAGCACTGCTGCCTCACAGCACCAGGGACCTGGGTTCAATTCCACCCTCAGGTGACTGTCTGTGTGGAGTTTGCACATTCTCCCCATGTCTGTGTGGGTTTCCTCCCACAGTCCAAAGATGTGCAGGTTAGACAGATTGGCTAAGCTATGTTGCCGGTAGTGTTCGGGGTCTGTAGATTAGGGGGATGGGTCTGGATGGGATGCTCCAAGGGTCAGTGTGGACTTGTTGGGCTGAAGGGCCTGTTTCCACACTGTAGGGATTCTATGAACAACTATTCAGCCTGATCATTGTCAACTCTTTGGTCTCTATCCCCACCTATTGTTTACTCCTTACCCCTATCTTCTGCGTATAAACTGACATTTTCCCAGCTACCATTCATTCCGAGGAAGGGTCACCGGACCTGAAACGTTAACTCTGATTTTTCTTCACAGATGCTGCCAGACCTGCTGAGCTTTTCCAGCAACTTCTGTTTTTGTCTCTGATTTACAGCATCAGCAGTTCTTTCAGTTTTTGTTCAGATGTAGGTGATCAGTGTTTGGTGCCCAGAACGCAATGTCCAGAGTTTGGAGTTCAGTGCCCAGAGCGCCATGTCCACTTTCTGGAGCCCAGTGCCCTGAGTTCAGACTTCATTGTCCAGAGCCCACTGTCGGTTTTCTGGTGCCTGGTGCCCAGTGCCCAGTGTCCGGAGCTCATTGTCCGGAGCCCAGTGTCTAGTGCCCGTTGTCCAGTGCCCATTGTCCAGAGCCCCGTGTCTGGAACTCATTGTCCAGAGATCAGTGTCTAGTGCCCAGTGTCCAGACCCCAGTGTCCAGTGTCCATTGTCCAGAGCCCAGTGTCCAGTACCCAGTGTCCGGAGCCCAGTGTCCGGAGCTTAGTGTCCGGAGCCCATTGTCCAGAGCCCAGTGTCCATTGTCCAGTGCCCATTGTCTGGAGCCCAGTGTCCAGTGCCCAGTGTCCGGAGCCGAGTGTACAGAGCCCATTGTCCAGAGCCCAGTGTCCAGTGCCCATTGTCCGGAGCCCAGTGTCCATTGTCCAGAGCACAGTGTCCAGTGCCCAATGTCCGGAGCCCAGTGTCCATTGTCCAGAGCACAGTGTCCGGAGCCCATTGTCCAGAGCCCAGTGTCCATTGTCCAGTGACCATTGTCTGGAGCCCAGTGTCCATTGTCCAGAGCCCATTGTCCAGTGCCCATTGTCCGGAGCCCAGTGTCCATTGTCCAGAGCACAGTGTCCAGTGCCCAATGTCTGGAGCCCAGTGTCCAGAGCCCATTGTCCAGTACCCA